TTGTTTGTGTTATTTTATTGAATCCAAATTGTCTTTTTACTTCTTGTTAATACTTTCTTATAATCTTCAGTATATTTTATGTATTTCTTCGTGTCCGCATTTATATATCATTGCGGTCTGTATGCGATACTTGTACATATTAATGAGTTCAGTTTCCAACAAATGTACATACACCCAAACATTATTCACATTATATATAATACACTATCTACATCATATTTATAAACACAATCATTATCAACAGGCATCTTACGTGCAGAACATTTACAAAAGAGTTAACTTGTAAAATAGGTGCGAACATTTTGGACAGACGTGCATTTGCAACGGAATAAGGTTATTATGGATGATATTATTATGCTATCTCACAATCACTGGAAGGGCTTACTTTTATTTCATTATTATATACAAATTACTATTAATAATTATTCATTTCAATTTAATTTATTCATATCTAAATGAAGTAATATATTTGATAATAAATACTATTCCCATTACCAGTAACATTACATTTCCATTTGCAAAATTATTCGCGCGGCTATATATGCCTTCGTTTTTACTTTTTCATTAAAAATGATTAAAACGAAGAACTTAAAAATTAGTCTCTTTAATGCTGGGTCATTGGGAACAAAGCATGATGAGTTTCTGGTGGCCCTGTCTCGCATATCTCCCGACATACTTGCCATCAATGAAACGTGGCTCCGAACTGGTGAAGAGGGTCGTGCGCCCGCGCCACCGGGATACCGGCTTCGGCATGCCCCACGCCCGCCAACTATCGAACGTGAGCGTGGCGGTGGTGTTGGGTTTTATGTTAGGCAGGGTCTCGCTGTACGTATTGTTCCGCACCCTGTACGGGCATCACATGTGGATCAAATGTGGATCTGTTTGACTGCGTGCTCGACGCGTGTCCTTATAGGGATTGCTTACCGTCCACCCTGGCTTAATACTGAAACGTTTTTTGATGCACTAACGGACTCGCTATCTTCTTTCAATAATTTCGACCGAGTCATTCTGTTAGGCGATTTTAACATAGATTTAAACGATAAAAAAGACAGCAAATATAAGCAGCTTAACGATTTTTTGCACTATTTTAATTTGGTAAACTATGTTACAAAATCTACTCATTTTACCACACATAGTGAGACCATAATTGACCTACTCTGCACTGATACTACTGTTTTAAAAATCGACGTAGAACGCATTCAGGATCTGGGAGCCTATGCTCTCATTACAGCCTGTTTTAAAATAAAGAGAAACAAAATCCCTCGTAAAACAATAACTTATAGACCTATAAAATACATTAAACTCGATGATTTTGATGACGACTTGCTTCGTTTGAATCTTTGTGATGTGCTCAATTTGGACAACGTTGATGATATGGTGTCTGCGTTCTCGAGTCGTATTACTCTATTATTTGATGTACATGCACCTACTCGAACCATCACTATACGTGACCGACCAACTCCATGGCTCACTAGCAATATCCGCTATCAAATGCAGATACGAGATGAGGCTAGGGAGAGGTATCGTGTGACTGGCATAGTTGAGCACGATAATTATTACAGAGAGTTAAAAAAAAAATGTTAACATTTGCCTTTTTGCTGAGCGAAAAGCCTATTTTGAGCAATTTGTCAATAAAAATATTAAAATGCCTAAAGTCTTCGGTCAGTCTTCGCCGCACTACGGTCGCGAGTGGATGTGTGAGCGAAGGGTCATTGACCCGATCAGTACCGAGCGAAAATGGCGGATTCAAAAATTTTGAAATGTGCTAACTGTAACATTGTTATTAGTGAATTGCTGGCTTACTTACAAAACAAGGTGGATGTAATGGACAACGAAAGTATGGTGAGGATTTGTGCCTCGACATACACTGTGGCAGAAGTCGAAGAGGCAAAAATACTGTTATTTGATACAATTCAAACGAAGAAAAGAAACATCTCTAGAAGGAAGAATGGAAAAATAGAGAGGGACCTCGAGGATATTATTGCCGTCCTAAAAGAAACAGATCCGGGTGTTGTTCCTGTTTTCGTAGCTAGAAATCTAAATAAAATTCCCGTTTTTTGTTTCGATCATTTGGATCCATCTATTTTACTAAAGGACATAATTAGATTGAAGGCCGATGTACAAGAAATAAAGCAAACCTGTGCTACTGTAAAACAGCTTGAAGACCTGGAAAGTAAATGGATCAGTTGTAAACCTTCCTCCCTAGTGCATACAGAATGTCGAGTGAATAACAAACGATGTGGCTACCTGCTCGAAAGTGGGCCGATGGGATTTTTAACACCTAGACAAGATGAATCATTCTCAGAGACAATAACATTTAACGGTATCAGTTCGAATCTCAGTACGGAGCCGGTGATTGTGCGAGAGCAGCCGCAAACTCATACATTGAACGCCGAGATACCTTCATTTAAACAGCGTTCGACCGTTACCCGTGTTGGGAGCGCGACTGATTCGACATCTCTGTCCCACACCGCCCGCGAACAGAGTGCGGTGCAGTCGCACCGGTCTCGCTCATCTGACGTAGCGCTTACATGCTCGCCCTCTGGCTTCTATAGAAAAACGTAACGCGCTCCGACTTTCGCAGAATTAAAAAACGAAAATGGAACATCTCCAGCTGAGTTATGTCAACAAAATGTACATACAGACACCGTCAGAAAGTTATCTTTTGCGGAATTAGCAGGAAATGGGGAAAAATGGACAGTGCCTAAGGAGGATGAAAAGTGGACTCAAGTCCAGAGAAAACGCTTAAGAAACCGGTTTGCAGGGAACTTGGGAAAAGCCGAAGCGGGCTCCGACACGAAGTTTAAGGCCGCTGGTACCAAAGTACCATTATTCGTATCGAATGTCCATAAAGATGTTCTGGAAACAGACATTATTGACTATATTTTTGAAAAAACTAAAGTAAGAGTATCACTTTTAAAGATTGATATGAAACGGCAGCGAGATTATAACTCTTACAAGGTGTTTGTGAACAAAGAAATGATTGATACATTCTTGGACAACAAATTGTGGCCAGTAGGTATTACTTTCAGACGCTTTGTAAGTTTTAGACAATGGCAAGGTGACCAGTGTGACAGCAAGGTTCAAACATTTTAAAATTATGGATAGTACAACATCATTAACAACTTTTATCAGTTTTAACTGCAAGGGTATAAAGAGATCTATTGATGGTGTCAGAGACCTGTGCTCCGTAGCAGACATAGTAGCATTGCAGGAGACTTGGTTGCTTCCACACGACGTCCCGTTCCTGAGTACTATCCACCCTGATTTTGCGTACACCGGCAAGTCAGCTGTTGACACTTCGGCTGGTATCATGAGAGGGAGACCGTACGGAGGAGTGGCAATTTTGTGGCGTAGGCAGGTTTTCAGTGAGGTATTAGTGGTTGAGTGCAATAATCCTCGTATAAGTGCCATAAAGGTAAAGGTCGGTGACAGTGTTTTCCTGTTATTTAGTGTCTACATGCCAAATGATTCGCTGGATAATTTACCGGAATTCACGCAGTGTTTTAGTGAGGTATGTGCCATTGCAGAAAATAGTTCGGTTGAGGCAATATACGTTTTGCGAGACTTTAATGCCAACCCTAGTAAATTGTTTGGTAGGGAGCTGACTAGTATGTGTATTGACCAACATTGGACTTGTGCCGACATAGAAATGATAGATAAAAACACAGACATCTTTACATTTGTTTGTGATGCAACTGGGTCAACTTCATGGATCGATCACTGTGTGGTGAGTTGTGCTGCCATGCAAACACTTAAAAGTATCAAGGTAAAATACAACACATACTGGTCAGATCACTTACCACTTATTGTTGAATGCAATTTAAAACAAATTATATGTAAAGTTAATTATGATACAAATAGAATGAAATGTAATAATGTGACATGGGGTAATAGAAATAATGAGCAGATACATAAATATAGTAAGTACTGTAATGAAAAACTTAAATTAATTGACATACCATTTGAATTTGGAAATTGTAATTATAATATTTGCAAAAATGAAGAACATAAAAATACATTAAATGTACTTTATTTGGACATAATTAAAATATTGAGTGACGCAGCTATTTATAGTAGTGAATGTAACACTAGTAGTAAATTTCACAAAGCACGTGTGATAGGATGGAATTGTCATGTACGTGAAGCACACGGGGAGGCCAGGCTTAAATTTCAAAATTGGGTTTGGCATAACAAACCAAAATCTGGTATATTATATAATGAAATGTGTCAATCTAGAAAAATATTTAAAAGTAGATTAAAATGGTGTCAAAAGCATGAAGAGCAAATACGAATGGACATCATAGCTGAGCACCGCTCTTGTAATTACTTCAGTGCCTTTTGGAAAGCAACAAATAAGTTGAATGTTAAGCCTGGTCTGCCTGTTAGTGTCGGGGGTGTCAGTGATTGTACTCAGATTGCAGATTTGTTTAAGGAGCATTTTAAGGTGAGCTCTTCATTGGGATCATCAAGTACAGTGATTGATGCTGAGCCCGTCCTGGCCGGTGAACTATATCATGTCTCAGTTGAACAAGTTTCAGAAATAGTCAGAAAAATGGAAAGAGGCAAGTCACCAGGTCACGATGGCCTCAGCATCGAGCACTTAAAATTTGCAGGAGTACATCTGCCACGTGTCCTCTCGATGTTTTTTAATTTATGTTTTAGTCACTCACACTTGCCTCAGGATTTGATGAGGACTATTGTTGTGCCAATTTTGAAAAACAAAATTGGAGACTTGTCGGACAAATGTAATTACAGGCCCATATCGCTAGCTACAGTGGTGGCTAAGGTGCTGGATAGTGTGCTGGACTCAGAACTAGACAAGCATTTAAACATCCATGACGCTCAGTTCGGTTTTAGAAAGGGCCTATCAACTGAAACTGCAATTCTGGGTTTAAAGCACACTGTGCAGTACTATACACAGAGACGTACACCTGTGTATGCATGCTTCCTTGGCCTTTCAAAGGCATTTGACCTTGTGTCTTATGATAAGTTGTGGGAAAAGATGGCAGGCACAGGCGTGCATGCGCAGGTGCAGCGTCTCTTCCAGTACTGGTATGCCAATCAGGTAAACAATGTGAGATGGGGAGGCAGTTTTTCTGGTGATTACGGGTTGGAGTGCGGGGTGAGACAAGGTGGTCTGAGCTCTCCGAAGCTTTTCAACCTTTACATCAACGACCTGATCGTGGAGCTCAGCAATGAGCGTGTTGGCTGCACGGTTGATAGTGTTTTTATAAACAATATCAGCTACGCAGGCGACATGGCGCTGCTGTGCCCTTCGGTGGGGGCTCTCAGGAGACTGCTGGGCATCTGTGAGAGGTATGCTGGCAAATATGGGTTGGTGTATAATTGTAGAAAAAGTGTGTACATGGTCTTTAAGGCCGCCGGTAAAGGTCCTGAATCAGTACCATTAATTAAACTTAATGATGTGAATCTGACACGTGTGTATAGTTTTAAATATCTTGGGCATTATATTACCGACGACCTTAATGACCATGAGGACATTGAAAGGGAACGTAGGGCATTGGCGATCAGAAGTAATATGTTGGCACGTAGGTTTGCTCGTTGCAGTAGGCAAGTAAAAATTACACTCTTCAAAGCCTACTGCCAATCTTTTTATACGAGCAGCCTGTGGTTCAATTATACTAAAAGATCGCTCAGTGCCCTACGGGTCCAGTACAATAATGGGTTTAGAGTGTTGATGGGGCTGCCTCGTTTCTGCAGTGCATCTACCATGTTTGCAGAGGCGCGGGTGGATGATTTCTACGCCATCATCCGTAAAAGAACAGCCTCACTGCTCAGCAGACTACGGGGCAGCGCCAACAGCATTCTAAAGGTCATACCTGACCGATATGACTTGCCTGTAATGAAGTCTTTCATTCGGGTCCTGATCAAGTAGTCTCATGTTAGTATATTTGGTTGGGATGCGAGTGAAAGAATTGACATGTATTTTTATTTTATTTTATTATTTTTTCTTTGTCACTAACATAGTTTTTAAGTTAATTTTGGTAAGATACTAACACTAATGGACCATATTATGTTGTTGTCTGAATAAATAATTATATTATTATTAAAGTTCTCTGGAGGAACCTAAAAAGCACAGTTCTACCTAATTCCAAAACCTACCAAGAGCTGCCACAACATCTTCTTGACCCACAAAAAATCAACTCGCATTTCATGAATGTACCAGGTACTAATAAAGTTGTATCATCTGATATTTTCTACTTTAAATCCCATAGACATGGTTCTTCTGTATTTCATATAGAACCAGTTACGGAGAATACAGTGGGTAAGGTCATTCTTAGTATTAAATCCAATGCTCAAGGAGCTGACCGCCTCAGTAGGGATATGCTATTGCTCGCATTGCCTCACTCTTTGCCAATTATCACTTGCATGATCAATAAATCCATTGTTACTGGCAAATTCCCGCCTGCATGGAAAACTGCCCTCGTAAAACCAATCCCTAAAGTTGCTAACCCTAGCGAATTAAAAGATTTACGCCCCATTAGTCTACTTCCCTATCTATCAAAAATTCTGGAAAATATTATTTTTGATCAACTTTCAAAATATTGTGAATCTCATGACATCTTACCTGAATTACAGTCTGGTTTTAGAAAGGGACGTAGTACGGCGACGGCATTGCTTGATGTTGTTGACAACGTACTCTCTAATCAAGATAAAGGCAAAGCAACTATCCTCCTTTTACTGGACTACTCAAGGGCATTTGATTGCATTGATCACCAACTTCTTCTTTCCAAAATGGCGTTCTACGGGTTTGATGATACTGCAATAGCATGGTTTGGCTCGTATTTGGTGGATCGTGCGCAACGTGTTGAGATCTGTGCTACTGACGGTTCTACCTTAGTTTCGCAGGAGGCGCGTGTAAGCAGAGGAGTGCCTCAGGGATCTATATTGGGTCCTCTTCTGTTTATACTCTATACCTCCGATATAACAAGTTCTATCAAACACTCTCAGTATCACTTATACGCAGATGATCTTCAGGTTTATATACCGTAGGTACCCATGATTTCAGCGAGACAATTAAAGCACTGAATGAAGATCTTGCGACTATCGTAGCGTGGTCTTCGAGAAATTGTTTGGTGCTTAGTCCTCAAAAAACAAAATACATCGTTTTGGGCTCGTGTAAACAAATTGCAAGGATTGTTGATCTAAATCCCACTATAAATATATCAGGTGTAAATATTGAACGGGTGGAGGAGGCTCGTAATTTGAGTATTTTGATGGATGGTGGGCTGCGTTTCCAACATTATTTGCTAGAGACGGTGCGTAACTGCTTTTATCGTCTTAAAGTATTATACAGAATTCGAGATCTCATAAATTTGGATTTGAGGGTGATGCTTTGTGATGCACTAGTACTATCTAAACTAAATTACTGCGTCACCGTGTATGGGTTCTGCGTTACAAAGAAATCCCAAAAATTGATTCAGCGTGTGCAAAATGCCTGTGCAAGATACTGTTTTAAAATACCACCACGTACCCATGTCGCGCCATATCTTCAATCTTTTAAAGTTCTAAACATGAGCGAATGTCAAAAACTATACACTGCGACTCTGCTATTTGGAACCATAAAGAACCAAGTACCATCTTACCTTTATAAAAAACTAAAATGGCGTTCAAATAGACAAGTCATGCCGTTTAGAAGGTGCGTCCCGCCGCTCATTGTTCCTACCCATAAAATGGCTGCTTTCCGTGGTTGTTTCAAATACAATGCGACCAAAATATGGAATGACATACCACCCCCCATTAGAAATCTTACCTCGATCTACTCTTTTAAATTTTCATTAAAAAAATATATTCTACAAAATAATTTCGCGAGTATTTGAAACAGACGCCATAAGTTCAAATGAAATAAAATCAAATAGAATAAATAAATAAAAAATAAAATATGTTATATTATTTTAAATAAAGTTATAAAAATGAAATTAATATGGTAGGCCGTGTCTAGTATTGGCAGCGAGCGTAGTTAGCGGATACATCTGCGGTAGTGCATATAGTTGTCACATTAGATTGTGTTCCGTTTTGTTATTTTTTGGATGACGGTAGAATTTTATTTGTTTGCTTTTTTATTTGTGTATTGTATGTGTATGTGTGCTGTGCATGTGTATACGTATATATTATTTTGTATTATATTATATGTATTTCATATACAGTTAATATCATAATTATAATTATATTCATACACACTGACACAGTTTCAATTCGTTACTATAAATCTTCTCTTTACCGGCTCATTTAAGACCTAGCAGAATCACCAGCGTCGTAGTTCTACTGAGCTGCGACATAATGCTGAGTTGGGTCCTTTTTGCTGACACAGCACACGCAAATCTACACTCCACACAATATAACACTCCACATCAAGTATAGACTAGTTTGTTTTTCTTTATTATTATTATTATTATTATTATTATTTAATTCTACTATTGTACCATTGTTGTAAGTTTGTTTTGTAATGTACTGTGTTTCGGCAAATAAACGAATTATCTATCTATCTATCTATCTTATCGAGAGTTTCACTACAAAGAACACCCACCACTAAAAACAAATATTTTTTTTTTACGTAAAGCTCACATTAACTAGCATTTTGAGTGTAGTTTTAGTTACACGCTTTTATATACGAAGTATAAACTTTTATTTTACACACAAAATTAATCACCCATTTCACAAAAAATATAAAAATTTTCAAGTACAAATGGGTTTGTAACCGGCCTTCTTTCCAACGATGGCCGTCACTGGGCGGCCGTACCCGCCAGCTTTTTTCATACAAAATTACGAAACTCGGAAATATCAATGAATCCTACATTGAATGAAAACGTAATGTGTTATTCTAGTGTATAATTGATTGAAAATTTGTAATATTATATTATTTTGTGGAAAATGAAATCAATATATATATAATGTAATCATGAACAGGACGGGCAATGGCCTGATTGAGTAGCATCAAGTTTCGAAGCTGCTTTCTTTTAGGAATATTTATGTTAGATTATGTCTTACTCTACAACGTAATTATATTATCAATTAATAATCAAATTCTTAAAAAAACGCTACTTACGGTATGTTTTCAACAAATAAACACCGAAATCACCAGCCCAAATAATAACACTCACACGATTGTCGTGACGTATTTTTGAATTTTTTTTTTTTAATGACAGACCCAGGCATTAAAAACTTTATGGTTTGCTAGAGTAGTTACCGAAATAGCAATTTATATTAGTTCTTTTACCTCTTATAACTTTGATATCTGATAATTCGGTATAAAATCATCACCGGCACCTCTAGGTGTGCTATGCTTCCAGAGACGCACGAACCGCGCAACGCTCTGTGGCAGCATGCGTCTACGGCTGCATGTATAGCGTGAGCGGCTAATGTCGCAAGTAATGTTTTTTCTACACTTTTTAAATTCTTGTTTTGTATGCCTTATTTTATTTAATTTTGGTTTTAATGATAAGATCAATATCTTCAATCTGTAGCAATATACAATTTCATACACACCAACCAGAATCCTTATTTTCGAACACATTTCGATTCATTATATCCTTTTTTATTTATACTTACAGTTCCCAAGAACTCTGATTTCATTCGCATTCATTACTTTTAATGGGTTTACTTTTGTACACGTCTTCATATTATTCATAATTCTTCGATTGTGTAAAGATACGTGTTTCAGGGCTACTTAATTTTTTTTAAATCTGTGTCATTGGGCAAAAATTTATGCCCAGGTTCCAAATAGTGACAGTGAATCGTTTTTAAAGTCGGTGTCCAGAGCCACTTTTAGCATCAATACTAATTTAATGTTCCCATTTTGACCTCGTGAAACACTCCATAGTATAATTTCTTTGACGCCCACCGCCAATTCGTTATTAATATGCCATAATAGACACGATCCAACTTCCTATGCTTCTCTACCTACCTTCTACTTATACATACAATAATTTGTGCCATTAGAAGCCATGTGAATATTGGAAAAAGGCGAAGAGAAATCGACAGCGATAAATATGTCGCGGGGAAGTTTATCATTATCGCATACGATATTCCGCCATGCTACGCATGATGTCATTGAGGTTAGCCTCAAATATCGCCTGGCCAGAATGGCGTTAAACTATCCATTGTTATGTTAATATGAGGAACGACCGCTCCCTCTCGCTTACCTTCCATTGTTTTCTGTATGCTAAGTACCTAACCACGACTTTTCAAACAAACGCTATGTGGGTATCGTTTTCGACGTATTTGGGGGTGCTCATTACGAATATAGCATTTATATTTAAATCCAAGATGGCGGACACGACTTTTCAAACAAATACAATGTGGGTATCTTTTTCGAGGTATTTGGGGGTGCTCATTACGAATATAGCATTTATATCTAAATTCAAGATGGCGGACATGACTTTTCAAACAAATGCAATATGCGTATCGTTTTCGAGGTATTTGGGGGTGCTCATTACGAATATAGCATTTATATCTAAATCCAAGATGGCGGACATGACTTTTCAAACAAATGCAATATGGGTATCATTTTCGAGGTATTTGGGGGTGCTCATTACGAATGTAGCATTTATATCTAAATCCAAGATGGCGGATATGACTTTTCAAATAAATGCTATATGGGTATCGTTTCCGGGGTATTTGGGGGTGCTCATTACGAATATAGCATTTATATCTAAATCCAACATGGCGGACACTACTTTTCAAACAAATGCAATATGGATATCGTTTTCGCGGTATTTGGGGGTGCTCATTACGAATATAGCATTTATATCTAAATCCAAGATGGCGGACACTACTTTTTAAACAATTGCAATATGGGTTTCGTTTTCGAGGTATTTGGAGGTGCTCATTACGACTGTAGCATTTGTATCTAAATCCAAGATGGCGGACATGACTTTTCGAACAA